AGTACCAAAAGAGTCTAAGGACCCAATCACAGGCTGGGATACAATATCCAATCCCATAAGGTGGCAAAGCTTGTCCCTCATTTACAATATTTCTGGCCTTTAAAAAACGTTAAAAACCCTTTAATTTCTTGGGTAGGAGAAAGAATTTGTCATTCTAACTTTTAAAAGTCTATGGACAAACGTGTATTACGTGTCCATTCAAATGAAACCTCTTCAGCAGTACTTTCACATGGTCAGTATTTATTTAGTATGACGGTCCAACTTTTGAGTCTGTGGATGAAATCCTATGGTGTGACCATTCAAATAAAACCTCTTCAGTAGTACTTTCACATGGTACTATATTTAATTAATATTTATATCTAACTTTTTCAAGAGTCTGTGGACGAAATACTATGGTGTTCAGGATCTTTCAAATGAAACCTCTTTAGTGGACCTTTGCGTGGTAATTTTCATTCCTTGGGATAAGTTTACAAAAAGAAATTTGGAATTTTGGGGAAATTTTTTCCCCTGGCCACTGTTAACAGTGAAGGCGTTCAGAAATACCCATAGAGAAGCGGATTACATATATAAGTGGTGTCTGCTCTTTGATAACTCCCAGTTTGTGGTCTTTGGCAGAAACGTACTGACTCGAAGGCGCTTTTCTTGATGTATATTTTGCAAGAAGAAGATTTTTGTTCAAAAAATTACTGATTTAATACCGTTTTAATGTCTCAGACTCTTTCTCTTGACTTCGATGCTGATAAAACGTTTGATGTTCAACTGATCAAGCCTAATAAATTAATTTAAAGGTAGCTTTAAATGGTCCCTGGAATAACATGAGCTACTGAAAGCTGAACGAATCACTTAAGCGCTGCAAAATCCTTGCTGTTTTCGGAGCCGGATGATTAGTACATAAAACATCATACGCCTATATTGTTAATAGCTCCTGTTATATTGATAAGAAATGTACTTGAATTGAAGAATAGAATAGAGCTTTAGTCAAATCTTGTGTTGAGTCGAATGACGAGTTCAAAATACCACTGACGGCAACCATACAAAATAATGAAAGATAGCCTAACTATGCCTTACATTTGGTTATTATAAGCTTGTAAATGTCTTTAGTATATAACCTTTTTGTCAGCTGGCTAAGTTTAAGTCAATGATCTTTTAGTCACGCCTGTATAGGTGGGTTAAACGATTTCGTGGAAGATGAAATAATTTCTGGCCTTTCTAAGCTTTTGATTATTGCCTTAGGTGAATTAAAATCTTCTTTCTTAAATTTCATTGTTTACAGAATTTAGACCACAATACGCCTCAAATGCACAAGCAAGATTGATCCACTTACCATAACCGGAATCCACGTTAAATGAAAGGTCAGGCCCAACACGCAGATAAGTTTGGCAAAGTCTCTTTCCGCTCTGAGCCTTCGGTTGTAAATGGCAACAGTTCTCGATGGGCCCGTTTTTGCCTGTGAATATTTCGGACAACTAAAGCAGCTCAGGACATTGTGAATAACCTGAAGCAAGAAGCAAGCGGCACTGCTCATGAGAACCGCAAACAGGAACGTGTATTCTTTGTTCTTTTTCGGGTAGCTTATTTGATCCAAAGAACACTGAAACAAAGTTGTGGTAGAGTTCTGTTGATATAATAGGGTAGAAGGTGGTGAAAGGCTCTCTGGACCAAGGCCAATGTATGGTAAAGAAGCGATCAAAAAGGCTACGATAGCTATTCCAATCACTAAATTGGCTATGACCATTGTCGAGTGCGTCTTTTCTTGATGTCTCAACTCGTATTTAGAGCACGCTAAAGACGAAGAAATCCTGTCTCCGATGCTGCGATAAATTCCCCTCGCGGTTATAGCGAGGTATGAAGTGTAGTTCAACGTTGTTATGATAAACAGTGCAGCAAGTTTGAGCCACACGAACATCAGATGAAAAATCTCGCAAATCGTTGGCCTTCCGACGAAGCTTGTCCTCTGATTTCTTGGACAGTTGTAGTGTTTTGATAGATAAACTGGTAGAGGAACACAGACAGTCAAAAAGTCAACCAAAACAAGAGATATTAACAGCACGTCTCTACTACTTCGATGGTTCTGAGCACGAAGCTTGGAGTAGCAAACTATCCACGGGAAAATGTTTAGAAATAACCCAGTCATTCCTACTACGACCAAATATAAATTCATTGAATTTAAAAAAGAACATTCCGCCCACATGATTGATAAGATTCTAGGGTGAGTTGGGTCACCCACTTTCATATTTGTCCTCTTTGCTTCTTGCCATCTTTCATTTAATGTCGGCACATCAAGAAGTCTTGAGTCTTATGTTCAGCTTAAGCTGCTGCGTCGCGCCACATAATTGCCATTTGTTTGATAAGAAAACAAAGAATTATTGGAATCAGTCATAGAAATTGTCAAAGAAAATATCATTCTCTATTCAGAGTTTTGGCCTTTATGCTAATGTGGCCATTTGATATCTAAACAATGATATCACCTTTCAGCCGTGTGTGGATGATAATCCTTGCATAACTAATTTTTTAGACCTCTTTATTACCCTCGGTCAGCCAAGTTTTACCTTTTTTCTCTTTCTTTCCCTTTCCCCCGAGTGCTGACTTTCACGCTGCCCGTGCTGTCCCTTCCCAAAAGAGATGGGAGGGGGGCGGGGGGTTGCACTTTTCAAGGAAGCATTACATGAAAAGCTACAACCCTGGTCAAAACTCTTGGGACACTAACGCAATAGCTCGTCAAATTGAGGCACCTTCCCTCCCCCCTTCCCCCTCGGTGCAGTGTTGACGTTATGCATTCAAGTTTTAATTCAACACAATCGTTATGTATTCAAGTTTTAATTCAACACAATCAACACTGCTTGTCGGAGAGGGAGACAGCAGAAATAGCCCCTTATAGCACCACCCCAAGCTTTTTTAAGAGGTAGAATATGAGTTAATTTAGCAAAGTGCGTCTTTGTGCCTAATTTCCTCAAGTGCCCCAAGACGTTTTGACCAGGGTTGTACGAATTCGAAACTCCATTTTCAAGTTCTCCCAAACGAGGGTAAATGTGATGTCTGATATGATTAGATACTTTAAGTCATGCAATTGAAACTCCTTTTATTCATACTTTGTTCCATTTTAAGTACCGTTATGTAGCAGCTGCCTAACCCTGACCCCAAACAATATTAAGGCAATTGAAAGAATGACATGTCCTTATTTCCTGCGACCAATTAGGAGAGACCTTAGGGGCAGCTCCTACACAAGATTTAGACACTCGGAATTAAATTGCCATGTTTTTCAGAAAAAATATTTCTACATCTGTTGTCCACTTATAAAAATTACTTCCGGTAATCTTAAAAGTGGTGTAAATTTTGGTCACATGCTCACCTATGAAGACAAGAAGCGGGAAAACGAAATCAGTTGCCTTTCAATTATTTTTTCTGTGATCTCTTCCAGTGAATTTGGAGTTTTGCGAAATCTTCTTTTGCTGTTACGAAACAAAAAAGGTTAAAATCCTGATCCCTGATACTGATGCAGAATTTTTTTTCTTTTACGTTGAGAGAGGGAGGGACTTTGGGAGATCGAGGGCACGCGGGTTCGCTTTCAAGAACGGATCATAAGAGGCTGAGAAGGGGGTTGAAACCCCATACGCGTCCCTACTCGTCGGGCGTTCGCCTTATGTCCAGCCTACATGAGCTGTGCTGTTCGCACTTCTACTCTTCCTAACCTTCTTTTGCCTTCAAAATCATAGAAGTGACTCAAGAAGCTCATTTGCCTAACTTTAATTGGCCTACGCCAGTTTTCACTATGCGACTCTGAATCCCTCGGGAAGCAATAAGTTTTGTATCGTCTCACTGACTCTTCCCTCGAGTTCAAGTGATACGTTTACAACATTAAACACGGTTTTACAAGCGGTTTGAATTAACAAGAATCATTTTTGAAGTGTATCGCCCGACCAATTCAGTGACGTCAAAGGTATTACGTTAATTAAAAAAGAAGAAAACAAAAAAATTGTATTACCGTTTATTATTCAGTTAATTAAAGTCTGTTATTAGCTCCATGGTACATTTTCAAGTATACAGAGACTGGAAAATACTGATTTTTTTGTTGATCTGATTCTGCTATGTTTTGCAGACAAACAGGCGTGGGTTCCTGGAAAGCCGATTAGCTCTAATCGAGGATTAAATGTCGCTAATCGTGGAATACATTTTGTCCCACGATTAGATTCTGTTCCTGAAAGTATGATTAACCTTAATCTAGGAATAAACTAAGTGTTCATTTTAACCCACCTAGCGAGGTCGATTAAGTCACTAATCGGGAGGGAAAGTTTGTAAAAACAAACAAAATGGCGGACTTACCGTTGCCACAAATACGTGGAAAAAAGTTCCGACAGCAAGAAATTGATCTCGACCAATTCACTGATGAAGAGCTTTGCAGTAGATACAGGTTTGGCCGAGAGTCAACTCAATATTTGGTAGAAATCCTCAAGAACGACCTCGAGAGACAGACGAGGAGGAAACATAAGCATTTGCCAACGCGGTTACTACTTCATGTAATAAATTTGGACATTAAAAACATGAACTGCGGGCTGTGGACTGTGGACTGTGGACTGTAGACTGCGGAATGAATATAAGATATAAGGACTACGTTATAAAACTTGGCCAATTATTTCTAGGTAGAGGAAGAATTTCGGTTTCCTCTTCTTCTCCTTAGGTTCAACCTAGACCACTTCATTTTCCGCCATTTTCCTTTACTTCGCCCGTGCCTAAACATTTTTCGCACCACACTTTTTAAAAGCAATCATCCCAAAAACTAGTTAAACCGGTTTATTTTAACACTAATCTCGGATTAGTTAATCGTGGGTTTTTTTCGCTTTCAGGAACTCCTTTTTAACCCACGACTAGTTATCCGAAGAATAAGAAAATTGATCGTAGATTTGACGCTAGTCGAAGGACAGTTTAATCCGCTTTCCAGGAACCGGGGCCAGGACGTTTGTAGAGTACATGACATATCTCCTGTATCATATCATTAAAAATGAGAGTTAAGAGTTATATTGAATTTCTAACAAAACGACAAAAGAAGAACTATTACTTGCAACAACATTTACCCTGTATTGTGATCAACTTTAACAATATAGCTTTTACCCTGATCCAAGAATCAGGGGAAAATAAAAACAACTACATGTATCGATGCATGTTTAGAACTACTGAATGCATTTTGAATTCCCTGACACTTTGTACTAGCTGCATTCAAATGTTCCCATGACAACGCCCGCTGCTGATGGTTGCCTTTTATAGGGAACATTTGAACAAGCAAAAAAAGCCGAAGTTACATTACCACTATAAAGAAAATAGGCATTAGCTGCTTTTTGGGAAGGCCCGCTGAAATTGATTGTTTTTCGGGAGAAATAGAAAACATCCTGACGTTGTGTCAAAATGGCGATAACGCCGGTTTTTGTGCCAACAATAATGGACACGGACCTCCAGCTATCTCTATCTACCTTAAATTTTTAATTCAAGTTTGCTTTTTAATATCTACATTTCACTTATATCAAATTGCTCCAGTTTAGTGTAAAATCATAGCCTGATTAGTGTTAAATCGTATCGCAACAACTGACAAAACAAACAATGCTTTAGCAGTTTACTACATGGCAAATCCTGTTATTTTTCTTTATCGCTTGTTAGAAACCTGAAAAACGAAATACCGGTTAATATGAATTCTAACAGTTACTAGATTCCTAGAAAATTTCTATCTTATTCTAGGAAACCTAAACGAGTGATCATTGCTGCGGAAAAGTTCCTCACATAACACTAAACAAGATAACATTGTGACGTAGCATTGTGACGCAATTAATATATTCTTGTTTACCTGCGCCTTAATTAATTATGCTAACTGATTCTTTTCCCCTATTTGTTTGATACTAATCTGGAAGTTTTTGGCGGACCCTATCGAGGATGTTCGTCGCTAGTCTTAAAGCTTCATTGGCCAGGGCAGCTGTGTATACATCATTAGGAATCTCGGGGTAATTGAGTCTGTCAGGGTAACGCATGCGTGTTGAATCCTCAACACAACTCTCCAGATCGTTCGCGACGTTTGTCAATTCCGTGTCGCCCAAACAGCTGGCATTTTTAGTAAGATTATGCACACGTGTCTTAAAGGCATCATCCGCATACTGTGCAGCCTTTAGTGCTTTCTCTGCAGCCTAACAATAAAAATGACAGCAATAACATTTAAAAGTTAGTTAACTTTCGGCAAAATTATATCACCAGCGGTGTTTTCTGAGGAGAGTAACTTTTGATTTGGGATTTGCTCATAAAACAAGATTAAACGATTAAGCAGTGTACCTGGTGAGACTTAAAACACGCCCACTCGTAGGAAGGAGTTTCTACCGCCAAATCTTGTTTAACTGCCCTTAGGTCGGCTTCCGCTTGTCTAAACCAACGTCGTGCCTGACCTGGTTGAGGATTCTTCTTGCAGAAACTTGGAGGAATTCCCGACTTAAAGCTGTGAGTCTTTGAGGTTTTCCGAGATCCATATTTTTTGTCAAATGCTGCCCTGTATTCCTGGCGTCGTGTATGATGCAGTTTCGCACGCTTTGTCCAGACATTATAGAAGGGTTTGTAGCTGCTCACTTGGTTGCACGTAGTTTCACCGCTGTCCAACTTTCCAATTTCATTTTGAAGATGCTGGATGACTTCGTTGTAGAGCTCGGCGTCTCCAATGTTCTTTTCAGGATGCCACTGAAGGAACAAACGCTTTATAATCTTTATTCTTCTTTTCTCAGGAAGATTCCATGCCACTTTAAGCACTTTAGCAATTCTGATTAAAACTTCTTTTTTGCTTGCTTCTGAAGTGGGCCTTTCTTGGTTTTCCGAATGATTTTGAAGGCTGTGAAATTTATACAAATCTGTAGACTCGGCGACCTGCAGTTGTTTTTCATGTCCAACATTGACTTTGTAACGTTTTGTGTAGACGCTTGCATTTTCCTGGCTATTGATTTCTTGAACTATAATGGCATATATGAAGGTAGCTTCTTCGTTCTTCTCTTCTAGACTGGGATCCTCCAGTTCGAATCCAACATACTCTCCGGGAGAGAAATCTTCAAAGCCTTCGTTCAGCAAATGATGATCTTCAATCGGAATGAAATCCCCTGGATCAGGTAAAAGATCACTCAGCGACGGGTCGTATGATTCATCCTGTCGGATACTCATGTGGTCCAGGATTGACCATATCTTGTTGGGCTTCGTTCGCAACAACTCTGGTATAAACATAACATTCTCCCGCAACAGTCCCTCACACGCCTCAGAGATCACTTGCGTTAGGGTAAGTGACATTTGGGTATCGGTATTTTCTGCCTCGGCATTAACATAGACCTTCCAAACATCTCTACCTCCGTCTGAAACCTTTTCTAAAAAATGTGGAACTTCTGCTTCACTTCCAGGGATAATAACTCCCTTACACTCCAACTGGGTCACAATTCCGTTCAGTCCGAAGAACTCAATACTTCGAAGTCTGCTCTCAAGGCGAGAAGAAGCACTTTCATCCAAGGTTCTGCCGTCTTGGTTTGCGTGACGAATTAACCTCAAAATTCCACGAAAGAACTGTTCCGAGCACAGCTGTTTTTTTAAGGAATCAGCAACAGCAACATGGGGAATCAGACCGCCACTTTCCAGGGAAGTAACTAATTTTTCCTGTACAACGTTAGATAGAAATTGCGGCCGTAAGCTATCTGGAAGGCACAAAATGTAGTCCTTGTAGTTCATCGAAGAAGGGCATTGTAGCTCTACCATCTTTAGGTCCACCACCAACAGCTGGTCGTACTTCTCAAGCCTACGCCGATGGTGTGGAGTGTCATCGAATATTAAATCAGTAGACTTGTGCAGGTTGTCGAAGGAGCATCTGTTTACCGGATAAACTGCTGGTAAGTACAAGTTTTGGCACTCAATTTTCTCGTCGGGATGTTGTTTTAACCTTTCGAAAAAACCTCGAACTGCTTTCAAAGTGCTTGTGATCTGATTTGGATTCAGCTTCATCGATCGGACGTGATCGTGTAACATTTCCAAGACCATAGCATAGTGGGTAGCTCTGACATCTTGAGAGCATCCGAGGTGCAAAAACAGTCTGTGGAAATCTCCGATTTCAAGAGGTACTCGATAAAGAAAGGGTGTTATCTCGAGATCTTGAGACCCTTGGAGAACCACTTGTTTGCATTTCACAAACCTTGCTCCCCTTTCAACTAAAATGCAAGGTATGTCCTGAAGGCTGCTATGGACAGCAATGCCCTCGGTAAATTTCTGATCCAAAAACGCGTAAATCTTTCTCATGACAGACGTTCTTGCCACACCTTGACCTTCCGGAAGTTTGCTAGCATTTTCTACAGCAACTTGATGAACAATATTGATGCAGTGGGAAAATACCATTTGCAATGTTGGCTCAACCAAAACTCCTAGATGCGAAAGAATGGTGCTGACAGAATCTTCTCTTGTCAAGTTCGAAGGTTCCCTGGGATCTGCCCACTTTGGAAGTAGATATGCTGTCGTCCACACGATTTTGATGTGGTTGTAAAGGACAGAGTCTTTGAATGAAATATACGGATTTCGTTCATCCTTCTGTGCACCAAACGGTGTATGTAGCTTATTAAGGTCTTCGGGGATCGGATCTGAAACCACAAAAGGAATATCACAAACTGTTTGTAGGAGTCCATCCGATGTTTTGGAGCGCTTGAAAAGGTTGGAAACTAGTAGCTTTGATTTTTCGTCTGTCTTCAATGTGCGATGCATCTTTGCTTCCCGTGCAACGTCCTTAGCGAATCTGATGAAATGTTCCCTAGAAACTTCATTAATCATACCGATCATTTTCATAAAAGGTAACCATTCTGGGTAATTGAAAGGTTCGGGTGGAAACATTTCTTCTGGTAGCATGGCTCTGAACACTTCATTCCTTGGGTCAAAGAAACAAGACGCCATGGTTACTGTACCCTCGAGGTTGGTTATGATTGCCGTGTTCATCAAGCATTTCAGTAATCTCTCCTTCTCTTTCTCTTCTAGAAAATACTTCAACAAAAAGTCTCGAATATACAGGAGATGTTTCTTTCGTGCCTCCTTGCTGAAGATCTCAAAATTAGTCAAGATAAACTGACAATATACATCCACCGTCGTGATACAATCAAACGCCAGAAACTGATATAAATTGAGGAGATCTGCGACATGCTCGAGAAACAATACGTCGACCTCCTCCTCCAGACTGGTCATCTCCTCCTTAGGTATTCCACCTGGTAAAACGCAAACCCTCTGGTTATCAAGGCTGACAAGACGATCGTGCGTTGCAGGATAAAAGGGGAGCTTCCGCAAAACAGTCTTAGATGACTCTAATTCTTCTCTAGAGAACGTTCCCTCTAGGCTTCCGACACTCTGGCTAAAATAACGAAGAACGATCTTGCACCCAGAAACATCCAGTTTTCCTTGTAATGCATGAGGCCTTCTTGCCATCATTTGGCCTAGTGAAGCAATGATAGATTTTGGTTTCTGAGGGGACGCCACGAAATGCCGTGCGAGTTGATGGGAACCCAGGAATGAATTAGGTGCAGACGAAGCACATAGCAATGAATTATTCAGCTCAGGCAGACCCAGATCTCTAAGAGCTGAAAACAGTGGAATGCCTTTATACATCTCATCTGAGTCAAGAACAGTTTCCGCTAATTTCAAGGGCACTAAATATTCTCCTTTGGCCAGACATGGATCATTGAAGCCTATGTTGGAAGGACCTTCGGTTGCAGGGAGAATTTTACAGTTAGACAAAAGCGTAAGTCCCGACAGCATGCTTGCTCGGTAACTTGATAGCTGATTACATTCTCCAAGAAAGCTCCAAACTCTGTATACCCAATGTCTATCTGGTTGCGTTGCACTTTCTGGATTCCACTGGAGATAGGAATCTGACTGATTGAACAAAACTGGAAAGGACCTTGGCAAAAATTCCACGAACGCATTTACATCAAAACGTCGGAAAACAAGTGCTCCAAGACTTACTGGGTCATGGAAAATACTGCTTCTTATTTTCTCGTGAACAAACATGTGATGAGAATTTGGCAAAATGTCGTGGTATCGGGACAAAAATTTCTGATTACTCACGTTAAATACTCGGAGCATGTTGTCTTGCGTTAACAGCAGGGGAAGACCATGTAAAACACGGAGAAAGTGATCATAAAGCTTGCAATACTCAAGCAAAAGTGAAACGGTGGCAGCGTTCTCTAGAGGCGTCTCACAGACATCGACTGGAACAGAGCGAACGATACAATGGGAATCTTGAGAATTGTACGTCTTAAAGAAATTTATAACCGAAAAAGGCGACACATAGCAAGTTCTCACACCAGATCTCCAAAATGCTTCGCAGATTGATGCGGAAAGGTTCAGTAGATTAAACCCCGTCTGGATGAGGATTTTTGCAAGATGATGCTTTCCTTGCGTTCTGTCTTTCACAGCGCTTACATCAGTACCAATATTGTTAAAGAATGCCTGATCATTTCCAGTACCAGTAGGAGGAAGCCATGTTACTTGGATTTGACGCACATGGGCAACGTTTCGTGGCCAAAAATTCACCACCGGTAGAAACCGAAGTCGCTTTTCGTCCATTTTCTTATAAACGGACTTTACAAGTGTGTTCCAGTGAGAATCATGGCCATCAAACTTTGGAAACAATTTCTCGAAATCATTGAATCTTTCAGCCAAATCGTGTTCACAACAACTTAGATTTTCTAATTCGCCTGGGGTGACCGGTAGTTGATAGAATCTCCTCACCTCGTCTAAGAGTGTTAGATAGCATGATGCTATCACATCACTCAGCAAGGCATTGTTCCAGTCACTTCGATAGCCGCTTGTTTCGTCCCACCACAAATTTCTTCTCGCTTCATGGTCCAATGCAAAGTGCCCATTAATGTGAACTGGCAGGTTTGTTTCGATAGGGAGCGGAAGAAAGCAATAAACTTTCTTTTTTTTCAGGGGTGTCACACTCGTAGATTTCTTTTCCAAAAGGCATGCAACCCCACCTCGAGGAATGAGCCCCAAATCGTGGTCTTGGTAAGCTTGGACTATTCTTGGTGGGACTGGCTTTTCAAAACCGAACTGCTGAACAACGAACCACTTCTCTTCGTTACCTTTAGAGTCTCGCAATGTTTTGATGTAGGAGCACTTCTTAACCTCAGTGTTTAGGAGAACACTTCTTTTCTGTTTAGTCGACTTTCCGGCCTGCATTAAACGGTTAACAAATTCATGCCGTTTTTGTTCATCCTCATGGGACATCACCACCTCAACTGAATACTTGTTCACAAAATTGCCGCTGTTCTCATCAATATCACATAAAGTTATCTTCTTAACATTATTTACAAAAACAAGAACTTCAAAGAGCTCTTTCTTCAGGGCTGCCATCATTTCTTTCAGTTCCTGCAAGTTGACTGGCTTCGTTGATAAACTGGAAACCTTTGCCATCTGTTGTGTTCGAAGAGGAAATCGAAACATAGTTGAATCTTCAAATGGTTGAAAATGTTCTTCAAGATAGCAGGAAAACACGTCAGGAAAAAGGGTCTTGAGCTTCTTCGTTTCTTTGTACATTCTTCCAGGTTCTTGAGGGTTCGCTCCGGGGACGTAACGGCAGTGTGGATCAAATACACATAAGACGTCGCCAATTTCCTCTCCAGTAGATATAAATGAAGGTACATCTGTTAAATGATAGACAGCGTTAAAACCAACTCCATACTGGCCGGTTTTGTTTGGGTCGTCCCCCTTGCTTCCTTCTCCAAGATTCTGTATACCTTTAATGTCAGCTTTTGTGAAAGGTTTGTTGTTATACACACATAAAGCCGGGCCCTGTAATGGCTGCCAGCACTTCTCAAACACTCGTTTTTTGGAATGGCTTCGTGGATCCACAACAAAACAAATCTCAGTTGCTTGAGCGTCATCAGCATTCTGGAGAAGTTCTTTCAAAAGTTCTTTCTCACAAGGGTAGGCAGTCAAAATCCGTTTTAAGCGGTTTGCCAGTTTCTCTCGTTGTCCAAAGGAGAGTCCGTACGCGTGATGTCGCAAGGCCTCTGCTCGACGTGTTTTTACTCCTAAGCGGTAACATTTTAACATGGGAATTCTAGGATTGACGTACTGGACATCCGTATTTCCCACAATCCAGGGGCAATCGTTAATACAAAGTTCACTTACGGGTTGCATTACTCCGAAAGCATCCGGCAGATAAAGGTAAGCAGGTGCAACAGGTTCGTGATATTCACCCAGAGACTCTTCCAACTGAATTGCCAGGTTGATTGCAACATGCAGTTTCTCCTTGTCGAGAACTTCATCTTTAAACGTTTCTTTAATCTGCCTTAAAGCATTCATAAAATCTTCTGCCCGGAAAATCTCTCTGACACCAGCTACCTTCATCAACATCTGGTATCGCCTGGCCAAATCTTCTGGAACCTTGTACAGGTATGGAGAACAATCGACTGCTAAGTTAAAAGCAACTTTCTTTGAAGGCAAAAATTTCCTTCCGACAAGAATGAAGTCTGTGTCTTGAGCATAACTGGCTATTTGGGTTTCATTGCTGCCGAGAGCTTCTTGAAGAAATTTGTACGATTGAGTACAGATATTTCTTATCTCTTCATACTCAGCATCACTGAGTTCTGTTTCTGTACAAATGGCCTTGTTGATTTGTTCAAGTACATGCTCTACTGTGGGTCTTTTCCCTTTTAACTTCAAAAAGGCTTTGGCCGTTTCTGAAATACACACTCCTATTATTGGCTCACTGCAGCATACAAGGTACATGTGTTCAGGTAAAAAGCCCTCTATTGCAGAAACGAACATTTGTTTTTTTCCAATTTTAGTATCTCTTCCGTTCCAAAGAAGAGGAAACGACTGGGGTTTCTTGAGAACTGGCAAAAATTTCGCCTTCAGAATTCGAGAGTAATCTTCAGGCAAAGGAGCAAAATTTCCGTCACGATTGAGCTTCTTCTCTAAGAAATCGATCAAGTTCTTGGCTCTTTTATTTGCTTCCTCTGTGGAACTTTGATTCAGGATGCTCTCTGCCCTTTCTGCGATTTCAGACCAGGAAAGGTTATTCGTCACCATTCCAAGCTGCTGGAGTTTAAAAAGCCGTGAGGGGTGAAGGAACGTTTGTTCACTGCCTTGTGGAAACCGTTCATCTAACGGGCAAAACAACAATGCAGCATCTCCGTTTGGACTTATAAGCTGGTTAGGGCATTTGAGTATTTGACCATGCGGTGTTGCTGGAATGCAGGCATGATTCTTAATCATCTCGTTAAGACCCTCATTTGTTTTATCCAACGCGTACAAGAGCAGCCTGTCTCTCAACTGAGGCGGTACAGAACCAATGTTTGGGAAAAACAGTTCGGCGAAGAACCTGTTCACGTCATATCGTTTTGAATGAATCAGTTCTTCGTAGCCATAGCTTTCAAACGATTTGTAAACATCATAAGGAAGATCAATCACGGCTTTGGTCTTAGAAACCAACATCTGAAATACTTCAAAAGAAATGTCACCGGCCTCAGAATCTTTGCGAAACTGAGGATCAAGAAAGACAACGTCATGGATGCTGATCCACTTTTCTCCATCTGAGAAAAGGGAACTGTTTTTAGAAGCAAGGTGATAATACAGTGCTCTCGCGAGTGGCTCACAGGCCTTTTCCACTTTACAAGACGTAGGCCACAGCGAATGAAACTGGTATTTTCTCCCTGACATTCGTGTACTAAATGACTTAACGTCTTCCAGAAGGTCTAGGTACGCTGCGCAAACTGAATCTTGGAATAGAATATTGTTCCAGTCTGCCCCAACACAGGCTTTGTCGTCATTTGTTCTCTCTTTCAAAGTTCGTCTGTTTGAGGCTACTGCAAAAGCACCATTAACGTGTAAAGGAAGACCACTGAAGATTGGTAGTGGAAGATAGCAGAACAAGGTTCCTTTAAAATCTGAAGGACAAAGAGGGACTGAAACAGAGCCATTGTCAAGGGACAGTCGAACAGCAACTCCTGCAGAAGGAATAAGACCTTTTTTACCCCGGGAAAACTTCAGCGCTTGGCCTTTGCCCATGGAAGAGGCGACAAGCCAAGTCTCAACGTCCGATGGTAGCGTAGTAGTGTCTTCAAAGAAATGGCGTCCATCCTCCGTCACGCTGCTCTGGATGTCAAGGATTATTCCTGACCTGCCCAAAATGGTGTTGGGAGTTTCTGCTTCTTCGACAAATTTTGTTGCTGCCCTAAGAAAGTTACATTGCTCCAGACAACGTTTATCTTCTTTGCTAAGATTTCTTGCAGCAGGAGGAAGGTCGACTTGCATAGGCAATTTCCGTATGATCCCTCCTTGCCTTAATGACTTTGTTACTTCAAATATCAGTGTAGGTTGTGAAGCATCTGTCGCCTCTTTGGACAAATGAGAAACACTTACTCGACGGACATTCTGCGTAAAGAGTAACAACGATCCTGCCCCTTTCATAAAAAGCTGCAAAAGTTCTTTCACTTGCTTGCAGTCATAGACGAGTTTTTTTACTTCGCTCTTTATAGCCTGATTTTCGGTTCGTAGAGGAAAGCGAAAAAGAGTTCCATGGAATGAGTTGTCTTCATTTTTCAGAGAAAGATCACAACCAAAGATACCATTGAACGGCTTAAACTGATGGGGAAAATTCTTTAGGTTCTTGGCGTTTCTGTTAGTGTCGAGCCTTATGCCTGGCGTGTTTTTCTTCCTTAGTACTTTTCCGAGATGAAAAGTGTTAGGATCAAAGATAACAAAGGAGTTTCGGCTCACTAACATGGGAACGTCTGTCAGATTGTACACTGCATTGAAACCAAGTCCAAATTTTCCAATCTTTTCTGTGTCTTCCTCTTTTGTCGCTCCATTTAACTTTGTCAGATTTTCAAAGTCTTTGTCTTCAAATAAAGCATCGTTGTAAACCCACAAAGCGGGACCCTGGCAGTCTTTCATTCCTTCATCAAACAAAAGGTCCATTGCATCCTCATTGGTTCTTTCGTCGTACAAGAACCTGACCTCAGTTGCACCCGCGTCATCTGCATTTTGGATAAGTTCTTTCGGAATTGCAAATCCATCGGTGTAATCCTCCAACAGTGTCCTGAGTCGACTAGTAAGTTTCTCCTCCTGTCCACACTCTTCCCCAATTTCGAGCTCATCAGGATTCAGCAAGCTGTTCTCTAGCGTTCGGACTTTGAAAAATTCCGCAGTGCTATAAGGGACGTTTGGGTGTAACAGTAAATAATCCGTGTTTTCATCATCACACAATGGTCGCGACCCTTTCTTGGAATACACGCATTTTTCCGCTTGCGCTAGTTTGACATAAGTATCGCTTTCTACGAATGTTGGAAGCAAAACTTGCTGGAGAAGTTCTGATGATAACTCTCCACCGCCTTCAGATTGCACCTTATTCAAAATGTTAATAGACAACTGTAAATCTCTTTCCACGTCTTTAGGATCAAACTGTTGCTCGTCACAATCTTCGTACTTCTGTTTAATCAGTTTAAGGACAGAAAGCAAGCATAAAACATCACACTGCTTTTGCATGCCAAATTTGCAAAACAATTCAGAGTAGGCATTCATCTCTGTAGGAAGGGATGCAATGTAAGGCGAGAGGTCAATAGAAGGCTTTCCTGCAAGCACAGCATTTGGAAAGGAAAAGCCGTCTCCATTCCAAATCCATCTTGAGCTCTTGATTCCATCCAATGCTTGTTCCACGTGAGTCTCATCTGTCCTAAGAAGGAAAGAGTAAATTTCGCTCACCATTAACATATAATGTGGCTTTTCATCCTTTCTGTAACAATCGATCAAGATTTTAAAATGCTCCACAACGTCCAGTGCACGGGGACTCTTGTCCCAACCAAGATGTTTGGCTACTTCACTTGATGAATCAACTGGAACAACAGGTCTTATTGCTCCAACTAAGGACGCTTTATCTTTGGTCTCTACCTCCGTGGGCTTGAAGAAATAAGCTTTTGTTTCATTTTCTCCGTAGAAAGGAAGGCTACTGGGAAAACTACGGGGCTTTACTCGCAATGGGGATATCCAAGGGACATCTTGAAGCTTTATTCCCAGCGACACTCCAGATACGTTCTCCTTAAGCTTCTTTGGATGTCTGCACAGATAACTCAAAATTGCTTTCGACTTCCTCTCTACCTCTGCCTGTGTTACAATGTCAGCGACCTTCGTGGCACTTTTGTAGAGGTCATAAGCTGTGATATCTTCCTCACTCTTCATGCCAAGTTTCTCTAGATGTCTAAGGACTTCAGGAGCAGTATACTGCGAGACGGGAAAAACATCTTCGCCAGCAAAAATTTCCCTAAGTTTGCCTTTTCTGGGATCGAAGAGTTCCATAGCTGAAACCCGTCCTTCACTGTTAGTTGAGACAAATTTCAAAGTTTTCATCTTCTCTTCTAATCTTGCATCGGTGTCAATATGACCCATCACAAACATCATCACGTTGTCAATCTCGTGCTCAAAATAACTTTTTCCCTTGACATCTGGAAGTATTCGCTCGCACAAAAATTCTGTCAGCGTCGGTATTTGGATGTCTAATAAGCGAGCCAAAGCCAGAGAGTCGGGCTCTTTAACATCAATAAAGTCTCCGCAGGGTGTGAATGGCAGAGCTTCTTTTGGTAAGGCACCTGGCCCCTGTTTTTTGGACACGAAGTCCTGAGACAGAGTCTCGAAAAGTGGAAGGCACGAAAGATACTGCTTCTCTTTTGAAGACAGGGATGACACTTTAGCGATTAGTTTTCTTAAGGAACGCCTGTCACTGTCTTTCATGTCGCTTAGAATAGCCGAGTGCATGCCTTTCCCCATCACGCTGGAAGAAGACAACATCGCCTGCAGAATACCCCTGACAGATGGTGGGCGAACAAATTTGTCTATTCCGGGATGGCTTTTCAGAAAATGTGGGCAATTTCTCATTATTATAACACCCAAGGCCTTTAACACGTGACACAAAGAGGTGTCCAGGATATCATTATTTTCACTCAGCTTGCTCTCAACAATTCTCGACGGGCTGGCCATCTTTGTTAATTCTATCGGGTGGCGCGAGAGGTCAAGTGGAATCAAAGGAAGGTTTTTAAGTCTACAGAGATCTTTTTCAAATTGTTCTCGAAGGTAGTCCCACACGCGCTTAAGCCAGTTCCTCGTGGGATGATTGTATCTCTCATCATCGGGATACCACTGAACCACATCTTTTCCTTCCCATTCCGACGGCAAGGCCTCGCGAAGTAGCTCTGGCATATAATCTTTACGAAGACGCCCCAACTGAGTGAATCCTACATAAAAATAAAGTAAACAATAAACTCTCATTTCCTGTTAACTTCTAATTAAAATGAGGATCCTGCAGACAACTCAAGCAAAACATGTTTCTAGTGACAGGGTATTGGAAACTTACCAAAGGGTTACGAGCCAAGATAGCAGATAACAATCTGGAATATTCCTGTCAAAATTGCGATGGAATCGTTGTCATTGGGTTTGATCAGTTTAAGGCGGTTGAAAATATTTCCCTGGATGGAAATTAAACCTGCTTTGCTTAGCGACACTTCAAGGACATAAGTTCGAATGTTTCTCCTGACAGCTGTAACCACGTTTTCTCTCAGACTGTGGCTAGCTTCTATTGCGGTCATTCGTGTGATGAATAATGTATTCAGTGACAATGTCATTACCATAAAGTAGAAGAAATAAATACGGAGAAGATGATCATAACAAACTAAATACGCAACTTATGCTGTTGTCAAAAAAAGAAAGGCTAAATTATTCAGGCTAGCCGGGATTGGAACCCTGAACCCTGCGATACCGGTGCAGCGTTAGCAAGCCAACTGGGAGCTGCTCATTAAACTGTTTCGTAATATACCGGGGAAAGATGAAGAAGAAAATGATAATACACAAATTTCATATATTTGAACTGCAAGATGAAAATATAAATGCGGAGAAGATCATCGCAGTTAAATACTCAACTTATGCTAAAGCAAGAAATGAAACACGAGAAGGGAAATTGTATTTACTCATTCGGCAGAATATCTATTCCAATTCTTAAATTTGCTTTAGTCTTTCACTGAGAGTTACTCCTTCAGTTACCCGCATGTCATATCGAGCAATTTTGTAATAAACATACCTTTCTCTGCAACTGCTTCTAGGCCTCTAAACAGCTGTTCGTCGACGTCGTGGTCTAAAAAGCGATTTCCTAGGCCTGGCAAAAGCTGAAGTTCTTGAGGATACTCACGCGGGCAGATAAAAATAGCTCTATCAGACTTTGAAAAACATGTAAAACCTTGATTCGAAGTGGGTAATAACTCTAAACCAAGGAGTTCTTCAACGTGTGTGAATTGGCCGTTCAAGATGAATTTCAAAAGCAGCAACTTATGCATTCGACCAAGGCTCCTATAGGCGGTTGGGAAATTCTTGAGCACTTTTCGCACCAGCGAGGGAGTGATCTCAATCTCCCGTGTGACAGATACGGCCTCAAGCACATGATCGGGCAGGCAGGCAACATTTTGATTGGCTTGAAGCAAAACTGTGACGAGCAGCTGCTTAAGTTCGCTGTCATGTTTGTCGATGGTGTCAAAGATGGCCTCCTCCGCCTTCAGCCACTGACCTCCACTGGCTGGAGTGTATACGAAGTGTTCACCGCACATCAGCTGTAAAAATGGTCCCTTAAGTCTTTCCCAAGCTGGGTCAATAACTGCGTTATGTGGCCATGCTCTGAATGACACATGATACAAAAGTTTCTTTGTAAGAATTAAGTAACTATAAAAACCATATTATAAGCAATAATGAAGTCTCTTTCTGACATCTAGGACGTAGCTCTATTGACGTTTTGTCAGTTTTTCTTCATAAAAGATCATCCATTTACGAAAAACTGACGTGGTTGTTTTACATTTACAAATTTTATTCAATTTGGATCCGATGTTGTGTTATGTGTCGTCTTAATATTGAGCGTGTAACAGGAAAAACAAGGATAAGTTATTCTGGCGATGTTTGCAAGTTAGTTGAATCAAAAGCGTTTCTTGTTTTTCTTGTTTTGAAGCTAGTTGAGCGGTTGACTCACTCGTCCTCATTCTGGTTGGTTTGAAAGATCTCGTTACCGTACACAAGTTAGCGAACAAAGCTGTCCTTGACCGTAAAACTGTCGACGTCACAAGCGGTAGAAGGGATTTGGATCCGCACGATCGCGGTTACATTGTAAATGTGCTTCCGGGGCGAAAGGGTTAAAAGGAAAAGAAAATTTATCTTTGAAATCGACACTTGAAATCACAAAAAAATTCAACAAACGCCTTTCATTCAAATGTGTTTTGCGTTTTTTGTTTTCCTGTTACCATGTTCCTACCGAGGTCGGCTCAATCCCTTGATTAGCTTTGAAGAAGTGCAAATACTGGAAACGCCAGCCATTCACCTTATCAACTAATGATAGAACAAACTTATTGTTTTCTCTGTTTTAGTACAAAATAACTGTGCTACCTGTACACAATGTATTTAAATACCAGGCACGTACGAGCATGATAAAGAATCCCTACATAATAAGATTGTCACGCCGTGGAAATTACTCCGAAACAAAGGAGGTCATGCCATTAACTTATTAACAGCCACATGCCAAAACACTGCGAGATTATAAGAAAAATATCACTACAAAAAAAGGGCCTTCCTGTAATTAATAAATAAAAATAAAACCTTACTTGTACACTACATCTGAATTCAAGTTGAAGTTGATTATGGCTTCCTTAATCATCGTAACATAGGCTTTTGGAAGAGCCTCTTCCATCAAACAACAATTCCACAACAAGGACTTGTCGGTAAGTTTGCTTCGGTCATCTTGATCTTTGCTTGGTGTCTTAATGTGGCGTCTGTTCTGAGTGAGGGCGAAGAATCCATTTACATGAACGGGCAAACCTGTCATGCTCTTTTTTTGCACGGGCAAAGGCAAAGCGCAAAACACGTGCCCCGCAACATCAGGCGTCGGGCGGTCCTTTGTTGGGGGAACCCCCATAGCAACGCCAACGGAGGGTAAATAGCTAAGTTCTTCATCTGTCAGAAGCGTCTTAAACTCGGATGAGAGCTCCCCACCACAGCAGTAGCTTGTGACAAGGAAGGAAAACTGTTGAATGTTGTTTTCCCGCACGACCGTCTCAATTATAACTGGATACGTCACTGTGACAGGCTCAAGCATGTGTTTACCTGGTTCGATCTTGTCAAAGAACTCCTTCCTTTTCTTCCTTACAAACTCAAGGCTATCTTCACTGATTTTCGCTTGAAAGATTGTTTTTGGAAAGGATTCTGCAATCTCTCGCGTATAGAGCTCAATGGATTCCAGATTTCGAAGAAACAAAAGCACAAGGTGAGCATCGGCAACAAAACTCTCAAACAACCTTTCCATTTTTTCCTGCGAGTACAATGTCTCTGATAATTTGGACGGAGTGTTCCGTAAAGGGAAACGGAACAATGTCCCACCGTACTTTCCTTCAGAAAAGACCTTATCGTTACAATCAAATATTTCTTTGTACGGACGAAACTGATCTTGTATACGTTCCATTTTTTCATGCTCATTTAAAAGCCAGCTGAACCCAGTTATTCGATATTTGTGATCACTCAAGTGCTCCAGTGGATCAATGAAACCTATCCGTGTGTTGCTGAGGATGCTCGGTAAATCTAAAAGCCAAGGAAAAATGCTTCAGATATATGCCTGTGTGCGTTATTGATCAAACGTGACGTCAACAAAGCTGGATATTGCCAGAGAAACGTTTCTTGAAGTTGAGGTCAATGGAAAGGCAAAAACTAAACACGAGGCTAACATCCAGCCATCTTGGCCGAACATACTTGGCGAGTGATGGAGTGATAAATTTATTATATTCTCAAGAGAACTATTTCTGGCAGGGCCTAAGCGGAAAATCCTTAATGGGCAAAAGAGGCTTTATCTTACACGCGTCCGGGACCAGCCAATGCAGGGTCATATAATGGGCTGGGGTATCCTTAGTAACAGATAGCTAATTAGTTAGTCTTTAGTCATTGCGAAGTTTCAGCGGTTTTGGATTTTTAGTATTTTTCTATTCTTGTTGTGGGCGATTATAAGCTATTAGCTAATTTTCTAGTAACAAACAATAAATCATATTTATTAATTCTTAACATGGCCAATGATTCTCGAAATAAAAAGCTACACAAAAAAACGCTAAATATAACATTTAATGCAGACGATCAGATATACAAAGCGCAAATTGTTCCGTGCGATGTACCTACCTGTCATGTGAAATACTGACTTGAAACCAAGGCCAAACCGACCAACTTTCATTGGATCTTTGACTTTGTTACTGTCACAGAGCATTCTGATGCCCCTCCAGTCGTCTTTGGTAAACTCGGCGTTATTGTAGGCATAAAGCGCTGGTCCCTGTTACGAAGCAATTACAAGTTTCAACTGAAGACACTATCCAACGATCAGTTTAACTAAACAAAAACCTACCCAGTCGCGGGGAAAAGCACCACCAGATTTATTGACGCTCCCCGGCCACACCCAATCCCACAACCCATCAAAGACAGACAACAGCAATGGTGGCTGTCAGTCAGGTAAGACCCTGCAGATATTGTAAGATCCTGTTGCTTATCTCTCAGAAAACTGCAGAAAACACTGCACTTAATTCTTATCTACCTCTTTTTCAAAACTCACCTGAAACGTGGCAAGCTTTTCGTTGCGCAGTTTGTCCGTTCCATAGCTGTGTTTGTCATACAGAAATTTCACTTGGCTCGCACCAGCATCCTCAGCATTTTGAATGAGTTCCTTAAAAAATAAAATATGAACAACTTTTAACACGTATATTGAGCTCTAAAGGGATGATACTAAAAACAGGTTCAGCTGGTTTAACTTAACTAGGATAAATACTGGATTGAGGTTAATATATCCAGGCTGTTTGTTAGCCCTAAACGGCAACCACGGGGGTGGGAGGGGCGCTGTTACCAGGATTACCCTCCTCCCTTAAACACCGGGTGTGACAAAAAATAAGCGTCAGTGAACGTAAGCAGAGATTTAAATGGTGAAAGACATATATTTGTTGAGAAAGATCGGTTTTAAGGCTTTTTAACTAAATGAATATTACCTTCAGTATCTGCCCATCATCAGGGTATTGATCTAGAATGGTCTTTAATTGTTGCAGGAGGGTTGGCTGAATCACGTTAAAATCATCATCGTCTTCTACAACCACTATGGGGGCAAAAACATTGGAGGATTAGTGGAGGTGACCTTCAAACTCCTCTTGTCAAAGATAGAAGACAGCCAAACAGTGAGTTAACTTATCTTGTAGATGCAATCTTACTTACTCTGTTCATTCATTATGCTCAGGTTACATCAACATATTGATTTCCCTGGTCTGAAAAAAAAATTCTTACAGTTACAAGTCAATGATGATAAGAAAGGAAAGATAAAAGAAGGGAAGGGAGGAAGGAAATAAAAGGAGGTAAAAAAGAATTAAGGAGAGAAGCATGGAAGAAAGGAAGGAGGTAGGGACCCTAATCCTAGTTTCTCAGCATTTCAAATGAAGCCAAAATGAAAATCACGCCGAAAATGCAGGAAATCTGTGCAAAGGTGGTAAGTGCCACATTTGCATACCTATTCAGTACACCGGGGTGTAAATAGGTATGCAAATGTGGCATTTACTACGTTTGCACGGATTTATTCCTCATTTTGCACAAATTTGCATGAGATTTGCGCTGAGCAAATTTGGTGCAAATCCATGTTTTCGTTAACTGGGAGACTATTGAAAATTTCATCAAATAAAGCGATTGCAACGAAACTCATTGTGTTAAACGCGAGAAAATATACTAGGAGTGTATAATATAATGGAGTATGTTAATTCCCTGTCAAGAAGTGCTTAACACCAACAAGTTAATCATTATTTCTACAACTACTAGCTAGCAAACCAACAGAAATAGGATATACTTGATAGATTGCAAATATATCATATACAATTTTATGGCTCTTCTGAATTTTTCTAATTAATTTGCATTTCACTTCGTTTTGTCTGGCGTGGTCCAGTGACGTCTCAGGCACCAGAGTCCACTAGTAGAGCGATTCGATAAACAAACATCCTTGTCTACATTTAATTCATTTTTGTTGTTTTCTGAAGCTCGAAAATGCGACAAGGTTTAAAGGTTACACTGAAAATAAACTTTAGCACGAAAGGTTTTCTTCGAGATACCAGTTTTGGAAAAGAACCCAAGCCAATCGGGCTTGAAATAAACACTTTAATTTCCGGAATTACCTAGAAACCTTTATTCGATCACTAGTAAAAATAGTTTCTGATTAAATATATTGACGATTTCGAGTTTAGCCACGAACAAAACTGGCAATATGTACGCTGCGAAGGCAGCAAACAGCGGATGCTAATTTCCGCATTACGGAAGCCAGGCCAAACTTAACGATAACAACGCCAAACTCTCATGTACAGAGTTTCCCTTCATTTGTATTTCTACTACAACATTTTCCTTTTTATTTTTTACAGTGCACTGCGACCAAGTATAGCCAAAAATTGAAACTGAATAACACACACCCGCAACATTTGCATCTATTCGAAGAACACCCTATCGGATCCACTTCAATCTAAAATTTGTTAACAAAAGTCTCTTTCTCTCAATTGCTACATCCTAAATTGCAAGCACAAAACAGTAACAGACGACACGTGTACATGTTGTGACATCTTTCTCGGAAAAGAGGATGCGTTTGAGCTTTTCAGTACTTGACCATAGTTTATCCCTCGGCCGTATAATCGAGGGGAAAAGAAATCGACTGCTTTAAGAACATGTATATGATCAGCGATACATTTCACTCATCATATTCGCCGTAAACTTGACTTGCTATTTCGGGGGGTTTATCCTAACTTCTCTAAATTTCAGATCTTAATTTAGAACTTTTCTAATATTCTTCTCGTTTTTCTAGTCAATGCATTCAATACATAATACTTTGTCGTGTTCGCTTCGGAGACATTCTGCTAAATAGCAGTGGTCCCGCGAACAGGTTTCTCGGAAAACGGTACTCAAGGCAGCAGGTGAGTATTTATCAGTTACCGGAGGCCCTGCAACACTTGGATTCCACCAACCAAGACTATATTCAGCCTATTTTTAGCTTTAGAAAAAGTGTGACATACCTTTTTTGATAAACTCCGTTTTCGCTGGTTCACGAAGAAATATAAGTAAATCATTCCCTGTCCACAATCTATTGCAAGTGGATCTTTCCCAGAATATTCGCTTGGTTTATGATAGATGTCACGTGCGTAGATTTCTCGGAATGAATCTAGTTTATTGCACCTGACCTCTACTGCGTCTTCATTGGCCTTCTAGGTCAATATATTTTCGCTGACGAAACGCAAAATCGAAGTGGAGTCGATATTTTTATTAGCGACAGCTCGAAAGGGGCGAGATTAATATAATTCAAATGAACAACCCTCGCAGTTGTGAACGCAATTTATGCAATTGCGTAAGAACCCGAAAAAAAAAAAAAGTTCTCAGGACTTCAACGGGATTTGAACCCGTGACGTCGCGATATCGGTGCCACGTTCTAACTAAGCTATAAAGCCACTGATGTTGGGAGCAGGTCAATTATGTGTATTATATGTTCCCATGAAAGGTTTTTTTTTAATTTTAACCGTAACGACTGTCACCAAATTAAATGTAACATTAAAATAATCACAGAAAGCATTAAAAGAAGGTCCTTAAATAACACAGCAAATACAAAAGGAGGCACTGATGGGCAAAGTTGAAGAAATTTAAAAAAAACAGATTGAAGTTGTCGGTTTTGAACTTGTTAGCCTAACAGTTTTTCAAAGGTCATTTTTGTTGATTGTGATATTTTTGATACAATGCTTGCCTTCTTTAGTATATTTGTTGGACAAGGGGGTGAAGCATATTCAACACATGACCTTACTATTGAATTGTAGGTCCTTTCTCTTAACATATTTACTACAACTAGATCAATTTGCACGTAATAGGCCCAGGATCTTTGAGGCTTTAGATTTGACCTCTCTAACTTGTGTATCCCAGTGGAAATCATTTTGTTGTGTCAAGGCTGTAAACCTGGTTTCAATGCTTTGAATTCAACCAACTAAGCCAACACTCAGCTTACTGACAGCTTAACTAAGAAGTCCTGTTCTCGCTGGTTTAGTAGGAAAAAAACTTTAAATTGCTCCATGTCCACAGCCTATTGCAAGTGGGTCTTTCCGAGAATATTCACTTTGATAAGAGTCGATGTCACATAAGCAGATTTCTAGGAATCGATCTGGTTCATTTCACCTGCACTGCGTCTTCCCAGGCTTTTTTCAGCCAGTGTATTTTGCGCTGACGCATCCGAAAAGAAAGTCCGCTGGAAATCGAATACGAAACGGAACGTCCGAGTGGTCAGTCGATATCTTTATGAGGGACAAATCGAAAGGAGCGACTTTAGTATAATTAACTTAAGTGGCTTCTCAGTCACATATTTGTGAAAAAAAAAAGGTCTAACGCTATGTTTAAGGTTTCAGTTCCTCTAAACTCGTGTCAGTGAGAGAAACTTAATTTTCTGCACGGTTGTTGTGTAATCAATGTGCATTACAGAGACTGTATATATACCTGGATTTTTGAAAACCGGCTTAGCAAAAATATCAACTCATTCTACTCGGCTTGGCAATTTAAAACAACAAAACTCATTCAAATGCCGATTAAAAGCCTTTATCTGACGCCGAGCAGTAAGTTAATGGTCCCTAGAAGTATTCCAACGAGTCCAGATTTAATATATAGATTTAGCCAGGGCTAAAAGCGAAGCTCCCGTTAATAAATTCATAATTTAAATCAAACAATAAACTTGTAATCCACAGATAGGGCACATTCATGTGACTTTTGAGGGAAATTAAGGCTAAGTGATTTTAGAGAAAAATAATTTGACAGTCCAAGAGTGAAACAAATTTTACATCGCGTTAATAGTCTTATTTGTACACCCAAAAATAGCAATCATGTTCGATCACAGTAGATTAGGCCTGGAAAACAAATAGACCTATTCGAGTAATGTATTTGCATTAGCTGTTGCATCATAATGTGGTATTCACCAGTCTCTCCAACAATGTTCCGTTAGAGAGACTATGGATAATTGGACAACCCCGAAATATAATTTTAAGAACCACACGAGCCACGATAGTCCTTGGTGGCAGCCAATTGACACGTTGCATTCATCTGTCTAAAAGGGAGGCCAAAATAAAAAATCAGGCCAGATTTTTTGTGTTCGACAAGTTTAGTTTACAAGTAAATCTTGGCGACGAATCTGGTGGCGTGTAAACCAGCCTTTTAAACATACTTTTTCTCAACACGTCTCCGGTAAACAGTACTATGAGGCCCCTTTTAATTTGTTCTTTTTTTGCCCTATCATTCTGCAGTTTTTCACAATTTTGTACGATAATTTGCACTCATTCAATATCCACGACGTCAAAGCAAGCGCTTCCTTTGCAAAACAAATTATAGCATTGAATTATCAAACGTTTTCATGAAAAGAATTCCATAATGCGGGACTTTTCGGTTAGAAAAATCTGGTCCTATGTGATATGCAGGGTAATAATTATGGGCTTTTAGCATGAAAACGATAAAAAAAATTCCCAAAATCACCTTTTCGGCCAGCCGGACGGGTTCTCACTTTTGACAGGCAAATTTGCAGTGCGATTAATAGAGTTACCATTTACGCTTCAACACGATAGGGAAATTGTTATGTTTAGGTTTTACTTCCCTTTATTTATTAAACTGTGCATGTGGTTTTGTTATGTGTAATCTTTAAAAGCGAGTGATATTTACGCGCGGCGTTTTGAGTATTCCTGTATGCGATGTTTATGTTCGACTGCAAACAACCAGTGCAGCGATAAAAATTGCGGGGACTACTAACAATCAATAAAATAAATATAATTCGGTGAAACATGTACAGAGACAATAATTTTCATTCACGAAGAGAAGTATTGAGAGTAAAGTGTCTCTGAAAATCATGAGTCAGGTAAGCATAAACTTGTTTATGTTTTAAGCCGGCTTCCCGGTGTTTGCTCTTTTTCAAGATGAACTCGAGGCAAGAAAATCGCTCTGAGCTTTCTGTTTATAGCCAAAATCATAACTAAATAATCTTTGGAACCTTTTCTTTGAATTTGCGGTCAAAAAATGTCTAAAGGCTTTTTAAACCTGATACTATTGTTGGTTAGATCATCGCTCGTGTATAAACTTAAGCCGCATAAACCATACGCTCGACTTCAGGAAACCGAAAAAAAAAACACATCAAAGACAATAATTGCTCAGGCTTACCAGTCGAGATGCTGCTTCTGAAGGTCATCAAGTGTTCCAGAATCGCTGGAGACTTTTCAACCCTCTTACGCCTCA